GCTCTCTGACTGTGTCTCTATGTGCAGATTACATGAGTACAACCTGCCAGCAGCGTTTACTGTTAGTGAGAGACCTGCATTCACAGCAAATATGAAGCTACAGATAAGATCAGTGTATAATCTGCTGACACTCACCCCAGCCTCCAGCTGGAGGCCTCCTGCTGGCCCTGGACCATCCAGCAGCTCCCGTGGATCCAGACGGCTGATGAACTGCTCAAACATGACATTCTCTGCCTGAAGTACCTCATTGGAATATCTGGAGTGAAAGACAACAGGAACAACAAGCTTCAAAGAATTTATTTTTTTAATTTAAAAAAAAGAGAAAATGCTGGAAGCACATTTTATAACTCATAATGTGACCTATCCCAGTTTAAACCTCCCCCTGGCCTTTATTTTTAGCTACCTGCTGCAGGTTAAGGTGTGTTTTATTAATGTTTAACTGACCTGACCTTATTTCTGGATGGCACAACCACTGCTAGCATTAGCAACGTTAGCTGCTCGTACAAAACCAGCAAAAGCCAGACGTAAGCTAACGACCTGAACAGCTTGCTACACCTGCTGGGAGTGCTGTCATTACTTTAGCTCTTCGACCCGTTTGTAGAGGACTTGTCCCTCTTCTTGTGTGACCTCCTCGCCTTTTCCTTCCATCGCCGCCAGCTCGTCCTCCTCCATGGTTGCTAAGGTACACATGTGGTTGCTAGGGGCCGACGTACTTCCGTAAACACTTTAATCTGAAATTCTGATTAAAATTATTACGTTCTGTCGCCATTCATCACTTTCAGGATTATAATTATAGATACTAATTTGGCCTGTGATAATCCTGAAGAAAAATGTTTGTTTTTTGTTTTTCAATTCTGAGTTTTCCTCCAATCTCGTCCCAGCCTCATGCTTTAAAGTTTGTCTTTATTGATTTATTATTTTTAAATCGCCCTTCCTGTAGAGACAGACCTGTCTAGTGTCTGGTTTTTGGTTTTTTTTGTTACATCATCCAGCCCCTTTGTTGCTGTTTGAGTTTCGGTTTCATTTCTCAGACCAGCAGCCGTCAGAAGTCATCCAGCTGTAGCTCTGCTCACATCTGAGCTAAACCCGCCTCAGGATGGCTTCGCTCATCTCTAAGTTCGTCATCAAGACCCTGTGCGACCATCAGGGCAGTTTGGACTTCCAGCGGCTGGACGAGACGATCGCGCAGAGTTTCACGGTGGATAAATCGGTGCTGCGGTCTGTCCTCTTCGACGACGGTAAAATCGCCATCCAGGCAGGAAGCGTGAATCTGCCCGACGGCCACATAACGAGCCCAGACAGCCTGGTGGTGGCGAAAACCAACCTGCGGCTCTGTCAGAAGAAGACAGGAGAGTGCGCTCAGTGCCTCGGCCTACACCTGTGCAGGTACTACGTGTGCGGAGACTGCAGCTTCGGGTAAGATCACTTCTTGTTCTGTCTCTTATCAAGCAGCAGTAAATCACAGCCACACATGTTGATCATCACCACAAACTCTACAGACACAAAGGATTCACGCTGTGGAAGCAAAGCAGCTTCAGACTTTAGATTCTGGCACAAACTCACACAGCTGTTGGTTGTCTGATCAGACTTTTCTAAAAAGACTATTCTGGTGCACAATCACGTCTCCTCCTCATGGTGGCGCTGCTGCACGTCCTAGTAGAGCAACTGTGTTCTTCATCATCCTATTGGTGCATTATTGCTTGCTTGTTCCAAGCTTTTCTCTTCATTCTGGTGTGGATTTGTTTAGTTTGCTGTTTAGTGCTTTATTAAAAATGTATACTAGAGATAATCAGTGGATCCAAACTGCAGAGAGCGACCTCCAAACCACAGGAGCTGCACGTTTTTGTGATAAAGGTAAAAATGTGTCACAAAATCAAATGATAAATAAATAAGGCGTTGTGGTGCTACAGGGACGGCCTGGCTTTAATAATAGACGTGATTAAATCTGCTGTTTTGATACAAACGTAAGCAGAATCTTTATACGAGAGGGAGAAAAAGAAAAAAGTGCAGTTTCCACTAAAACTGTGACTCACATTACGATATCTGTTAAAAGAATTCACCTCTAGAGGTAATTAGAATAAAACAACCACCAGGAGCGTCATGAAAACTGTATAAACTATAAAAAACAGAATGTGTACAGAATCAAAAGCTTGTGGATTTTACCGTCTATTCTGAGCTTCTGTGAAAACGATGAATTTTTCTACATGTTGTTATCGTGGTTTGTGACTGGATGCATCCTGTTAAATGACCTCGATAATCGCTTTCCTGGAGAACTTCCTGTGTGTCCTGTGCTGCCAATAAACAGCAGCATTACTGAGTCCTGCTGCAAATGAAGCTGATGTAGGTCAGCTGATAAAACTCCACCGGCAGCAGAGTGACATTTAGCCAAAGTAAGAACACGCATCAGATCATAAACGAACCGACAGCAGCCCTGAACTGTCACGGTTACAAAATGTGACTGTGGGTTTTCTTCTCAGCCACCAGAGTGATCCGTTGTAATCGTGTCCAGAAGCCTGTACATGGACAGAAACGGCATCATTCTAACGGGTTAATTCAGTAAAACTAAAACCTTTACCTGACTGCATGCTGTCATTTTCAGACTCAGGTGTAAAAATCCCCACAGTCTGGCCATTCCATACAATCAGGAGCTTTTGAAGAGATACGGTCTCCACGACTTGACGGAGAAGCAGCTGTTTCAGCTGCTACTGCAGAATGATCCTTATCTGCTTCCAGAGGTAGGCTTCTGTTCTGGGAGGTAGAGGTCTGGATTAAGAACTCACATAAGTCTCACCACCTCCAATGATCCCCTCCAGGTATGCCCACATTACAACAAGGGCAACGGTTTGCACGGCTCCTGCAGATTCGCCACCTCCTGCACCAAGCTCCACGTCTGCCAGCACTACCTACAGGGCGACTGTAAGTTTGGCTCTTCGTGTAAAAGAACCCATAATCTGGACGCACAGGGAATGAAGCTCGTCCAGGGATTAAGCAAGGAGAACATCGAAAACCTCTTCAAGATCTACAGAAATAAGTTCATCATCATGGGTCTACAGGCGAGACCGGCCGCTGTTGTCTCCGGTAAACGGTTGCTTTGATTAAAACATTGCTTGCTGAAGTTTTGGTCATCCAATCAGAGAAGTATTGATTAAATGCTCTGCAGTGCGGCCAGAGGTGAGAATCCCCACTCGACAGCCCTCCCAAAGCAGCGCTGGATCTCCCACCAGTGCTGCCTGTCCATCCAAAGCCCCGAGTGACGCCGACAGAGATGAAATCTGCCTCTTCTTCATTCGCAGACACTGCAGCTTCAAAGGTATTACTGATAGAACTGAGCAGCCACGTGTACGCTTCAGTAACTCCTCTACAGTACAACACGTGCACTGCTTTATGTGTTTGTGTGTTTTTCTCAGACAGGTGTGTTCGTGTCCACTGGCACCTGCCTTACAGATGGCAGATTCTAGACAGCGATGGAGCGCCCTGGAAGGATCTGGTCAACATGGAGGACATTGAGAAGGCCTACTGCGACCCGGCACATGACACCAGCTGCACGGATCAACCAGCGGCCACCTCTGGGATTTTCAAATTGCTGTCTTCCATAAGGTACGTGAAGAAACAGAACGCACAGGTGCACATACAAGTCTCTGGGATACAGTGATGGAGGAATATTTAGAGTCTTACTGTAAATAAAACACTCCAGTATCAGTAAAAATCCAGTTTAGGTAAAAGTACATGAGTATCATCAGCAAACTGTAGGTGAAGTATTAAAGTTACTGGTTTGGTCCTTCTGACTGGTTTGTTGTTTTATATGATGTCATTAGATTCACAATCCTGAAGCACGAGTGTAAATCTGATTAAATGGGAGCGGAAAGAAGAGTAAAGTATGTTTTTTTTTTAATTTGGTGAGATGTCGGATCATTTAAACATGTTGAACTGAAACCATGGGAGGAGTTCAGGAGGTGAAATGTGACCTGACCGAACACTGCTTCAGAACATCAGAAACCAAAAAGGTTAAAAACCACAACAATGTATAGTCTTTAAAAAATGGATCTATAATGTAAAATCTTCATCTTAAGAGAAACTGAAGCTGTTAAATAGTTCAGTGGAGCAGAAGTTCAGTGGAGTGTGAGCATGAAGTAGCAGAAAATCCTCAAGGACACGTAGCTCAGACCTGTGCTTAAATCCAGGGCTTCAGTAAAAGCACTTGGTTCTGTTCCACTAATGTATTCTACAGCAAAAAAACACATTTAACTCTATTATTGACATTAGTTCAAGTCTATAGAAATGTTCTCTCACCTTGACGGGATTTACTTTCCTCTCAGCTCCGCGCCGCCCAGCGTGCAGTCGGTCGATTTCACGAAAATGACGTATGGCCGGTCTCCAGTCCGCCGCCTGACCACGGCCTCCTCCGTCTCAAAGCCGCCTCACTTCATCCTGACAACGCAGTGGGTTTGGTACTGGAAGGACGACGGCGGGACGTGGCAGGAGTTCGGACAGGTGAGTCCAACGTAACACAGCGGTACGTCTGTTCAGTGACGGCTGGATGAACAGCCAGGGCGATGCTGACATCGTCACTGTTTTTAAAGCAGTCGATCCGGTTGGTGTTGTGTTCAGGGTGATGCTGATTCAACAGTCACGTCCCAGACCCTGGAGAACGTGTACCTGGCAGACAGAGACACAGAGATTCCCTTTAAGGTGGGCCAGCAGCAGTACGTTCTCCACTTCAGAGACGCAGCGGGAACCCAGCAGATGTATCAGGAGAATGTGAAATACAAAACCAAGAGAGAGGTCAGGAGGAGGCCTCGCTTCGTGTCCGGTCAGGACGTGGAGGTGGCGCTGAAGGGGTATTTTGATTTTCCACTTAGAGACGTGGAGTCCTGACAGTTTTAACACTGCTGTTTATGAGCATGTCACCAAGACGATGCCTTCTTCTGTCCTCTCAGTAGTGCATCATCTCACAGCTCGTCCACGGCTGAAAACATCCCGCCCCACTGGGACAAGAACGCCCTTCCTGAGTTTGGATTCAAGGTATCTCTACAGATTAAACATGATTGTATTTGATATTTCTGTTTTTTGTGTCTTTTGTTCCTTATTTAAAAACTTAACTTGTTTATCTGCACTTTATGAACATCTTTCAGCTCATATCGCTCTCCAAGTCTGCAAAGGAGTACAACATGATTGAGATGCTGTTTAAGCGCACCATGCCTCAGGCTCGAATCACCAGCATGCAGAGGATCCAGAACACCTCTCTGTGGAAAGTCTTTCAATGGTAAACCACCAGCAATGTTTGGGTTTTTCCTTTTGGTTCTATTAAATGTAATGGTTTGAAAGTTTAGAGCAAATTGACACCATTGTGGTTAAGTATGAAACTACTGCCAGCATTGGTTACTTCAGCTCAACAGAATCACTGGAAATATGGAGAAACAGCGAGACCGGCTGCATGCAGACGTGAAAAAGGTTTTGCATTGTTTGCTTTTTGGAGGCGACTTGCTGGAGTCTCCGCCAGCTGACAATCCACGTTTTCCATTTTCCTGATTCCATGCAAAGCTCAGCAGCTGCAAACAGAAGAGTCGAGTACAGTCACCATTATTTGTTATTAAAAAAGGACAGCCGCTGAGCTAACGAGTAGAGAAATGACATCAGTGGTACAAATTTAACCAGTCAAGTTTAGATATGAATGTGTATTACAGAAAATACAGATCTACCTGACTAATTTAAACATTAAGACCATATAATATTATAAAGTTTAACTAAATTAACTGACACATTTAAAATTAAGGTTTGGACCCTACAGAAATGTTCACGGAAAAACCCAATGAATGAAAATATTCCATATGAGAGGCAACAGAAAGAAACCTCCAGCAGAGCCAGGCTCAGGGAGGGCAGCCGTCTGCCTCAACCGGCAGAGGAGAGGGTAAAGGAGAGAAAGGTGGTAGCAGAGGACATAAACCTGGACAGTTTGATGGATGCATATATCAGGCCTGTGCAACTCCAGAGCCAGAAGTACTGAGGTACTGACAGACAGAGGACAGAGAGGACAACACAAAGCTACTAAAATGCATACAGTGCATACAGTCATGCTCTCCAAGATGCCATCTGAACTGCATCCTCACATGAATGTTGATATGTTGTGTGTTCAGGCAGAGAGATCAGATGAAGGAGAGGAACGGAGGGAAGCCGGTCAATGAGAAGTACTTGTTCCACGGGACAGACGAGTCCCTGAGCAGCGCCATCTGTGACCAGAACTTTGACTGGAGGATATGTGGTGTCCACGGCACCGCCTACGGCAAAGGTACAGCCCAGCGGCCGCCTCGTCCCTTCTAGTAATGTGACAAATACACAACATTCAACATGTAGCACTGATCGATGTCTTCCTCCTGTGTTGTGCTGTGGTTCAGTGTGGAGCTGTGAAGGATTTTAGGATTTAAAAAAAAAACTCTGACTTTCTTTAAACATTTGATTATTTTCTAGGGAGCTACTTTGCCAGAGACGCGTCCTACTCAGACAGATACGCCAGGGTCCGAGGAACCCCGGGTAAGATCATGTTTGTCGCTCTGGTCCTGGTGGGGGAGTACACCAAGGGCAGCAGCAGCTACGTCCGGCCGCCGCCGAAGCAAGGCAGCAGGGCTTTCTACGACAGCTGCGTCGACTCCGAGAGCAACCCCAGCATATACGTCATCTTTGAAAAGCAGCAGATCTATCCGGAGTATCTCATCCACTACTCATAGACCATAATGCTGCATTTTGCTTTTCTGAAGAAGTAGTTAAACTGGTTGTAGCGCATAGTTTAGTTTAGTTGGTAGAGGTTTGCGGTGGTGGAAGTCACATTTTAAAAGTAAACACAAAAGTGAACATACAATGAAAACCTTTTATTCTAAACCTTTCTGGAAATCACACGGTTTAACAGAACTTATTAAAGTGCCTGTAAATGAATGCAGCAGAGTTTCCACTGTGATCTCTCACTAATCACTGTTTAATGCTGCAGCGTGTTCAGGTAGGACTCCATTAAACCTCTGATTTTATTAAATATTTCCACCTGAAATGTTAGGATGAGGGTGGAAATACTTCGCTGGGATTGTGAGAAAATACTCACCTTTGCATTACACGGTATAGACAGAAACGAAGCTTTTCCTGGACAGATGTCTGCGCCGGCACTTTTACACTTATGCTTTTTTTTTTCTTGACAACAATGTCTGGCAAGGGTCACTAATGGAAATCTAAATCAGGCAAACAGAGGGCAGCAAATGATTTGGTGTTGACTGGCTGTTACGAAATAAACACACTGCAAAATGTCAAAGCAGACCTCTTTATTCACTCCATGCATTTATTCACCAGCTGTTCTTTGATCAGTTTTAAATGAACACAATTCAAGTACATTTGAATTAATCAGCAGTAAATCACTTATTGAACATATTTAAGTTTAAAATTCCTTCTCAGATCACTCCCAGGCAAATCAAAGCTCGGACAGATTAACTTTCCTCCATGATTAATGATGACGTTTAAATAAGGTGCAGCTGTTCTCCTTTAAGAGTAATGAATGATTTCACCAGGTGTAGTGATGTTCTGTAGGTAGGAGACGTTTCCTGTTCTGTGATCTATAATAAACATTGTCAGGCATCATAAGCATTAAAACAACAGCAAGGATTTCCTTTTACCAAACTGTCCGTTAAACCCTAAAACAGAATAAAGTCTTCAGTACATCATCAGTAACAATGAAGCCCAGTGATTGGACTGATCCTCCTGCCCAGCGACGCGCCGTTTTCATGTCAACTCACTGTAGATGGAAGTCTGTGTGGTGGTTGATTGGATAAACGGTGGCTGTGGCGCTAACGGGGGAATGAAGGCAGGTTTGGTTCTAGAGCCACTAAAAACAATCAGAACCCTCATTAGCTTTTACTCCGTTGGGTTCTGGATGCTTTGTTTTGCATGTGCTTCACATATTGTTGATGCAATGAAAATCATCTTTGTTGTGCTTTAACTTTGAGAGAGAGACGTCCGCTTCCTCGCCTGAGGCTGGACTGGTTCTCTTTTGGCCCGGTTGTTGGTGTTGTCGCCATGGCGACGCCTCTAAAGGAGCACTGAAGGGAAAGTTGTTTTGTTGTTGAGTTTAGATATCGCCAACAGTTCTGATGAGTGGCTCGCTCCTTCATGAAATAAAAATATCCAAATGCCACAACAATAAAAACTGTTCTTTTTTTTTAATAATAACAGCGAACAGTTAAAAAAGTGTTCCTGAATCAGCTTTTATGAGTGTTTTAAAAACTACTGCCTGAAAATGAGTGTCAGTATAAATGAGTGAAGGCATCAGCACTTCTGTCATCACAATAACTGATGAACCATCAGCAGGGACTTCAGAGGGACCTGAACCCAACAGAGCACCTGGTCAGGCAGGTGGAGCTCATTGGGACCATCCATCCATTATCTATACACCACTTAATCCTCACTAGGGTCATGGGGGGCGGAGCCTATCCCAGCTGACTCAGGGTGAAGGCAGGTTCACCTGGACAGGTAACCAGTCTATCACAGGGCTACACTTAGAGACAG